GTAGCTTTATCTTTATTTCTTGTTCGAGCTCGCATACGGTCGTATTCTTCATACGGCTCTTGCATAAGATGCTCCTGGCCTTGGCATGTACTTGTTTTGTTGTGACACCTTTTTTTATTTCGCTAAGGATGGAGAGGTCCTTGCGATGGTTTTCAATTTTTGTTCTGATTCTCTTCTTCTATGTTGGTTCTACTGTGGGCTTTGTGACTCTCTCTTTTATCTCTCCAGCAATAACAGCAGCAGTCGCGTACATTAATTCATTGATTTCTGATAAGTTTAGATGGTTATCTTTGATGATATTGGTGAGGGCCTGATTTGCAGCTTGAATATCGTGCCGTATTGCCTTGTTGAGATGAATCTTTTTCAGGCTTCTGCGTTGATCTAGAGGGATTGCCTGAGTTTCAAATGGCGGGGTAGTAAAAGGTACATACACGATCTGGCGAGGCAGGAATCCAAACATCTTTCCAGCCACCAATTCAAATACTCTTGCTAATACCAGGAGGTGGATTATTAAGAACAAGAAGCTCACCGATACTGAACCTGAACAGATAGTGGCAGCTGTGCGAAAGAAAAATAATGCATCGCAACCAACACTTATCCCCACTAAGCAACCTGAAGACCTACAACCCCCGAGCCCGAGGCTGAACAAACACCGCAGCATACGGATACCAATGAAGCTGAATCAGTAGTGGATATGGAAGATCGAATCTCTACTAAGCTGCTCGGGTTGGCGTCCGACGGGGGCAAGTCTGTCCCATGGGTAGGAGGGACTCTTTAGCCTTGAATGGCAACCCCCTAGAGATGGTGTCTCGATAAAAATACCGCTCTCGATCTGGAGTAGCAAACTCCCGATAACTGTGACATTACGGTCCACGGACCTACGGTCCTACGTGCCCTGATGTCCAGGAAAGTTTGTCCTAACTTTGGGTTAAATAGTAAATATCATACCATGATGAATAAGCCAATACGAAAGTCATACCGCATCGCTCGTTGCGCGGGTCAACAAGGAGCGCGTCCCTCAGTGATCGCCGAAGAAGCTGAGGTCGAAAAATCGGTTATTGAGTCGGCAAACCTTAACAGCCAAGCTTCAGATAGCAACTAGACCGAGATCCAATCTCAAGTTGGCCTAACTGAAGCAGCACCAACACCGCAGGCACAGTCCACCAACGCAGAAATAACCAACAGAAAAACAAGAAACCAGTGGACAAAGGATCAATATAAGGATGTGATGTGGTCCTATTATTTAGCCCAAGAGAACAACACGGTACTTCAAGGTCTCGGGGAGAGCTAACAGGTGCTACACCTTGCTCAAGGGTGACCTGGAGGTAGTTGTGGCAAAGGGTAACCTCATTCTCCCACGTTGAAACTCCACAACCGGACGCAGTTTTAAGTCATACCCAGGACATTTATTATTATTATTATTATTGTTATTATTATAATTATTATTATTATTATTATCATTATTATTATTATTAAATCTTTATTGCATGGAATTCAAATACAAGTACATGTACTGAAGACAGTCTTTTTCATAGAGAAAATATATGATAAATGCAATAGTGTTGAGCCGTTAAAATAAAATAAAAATTCCGAGTGAAACAGAGCAAAAGTCATCTCCTGTCGTCGTTGCTGTCGTCGCACAGCCTTTCAGGACGGCAAGTTCGTACACCTGGGCAACGCGCAGCACAGCAGCATGTACTTTTTCTTCGCGTTGAGCGGCGCCATCGACGTGCTGGTCTTCTACAGGGTGGCGCTACCTGCCGGCATCGACTACGTCGCACTCTGCCTCGGCTTCTTCATCGAGGGTCTGCTCTTCGTCCAGCATCTGCACGGCCGCAGCGAAATGAACGTGCAGCTGCACGTGCTGCTCTACTACACGGTGTTCGCCTGCGCGCTGTCGACGCTGCTCGAGATGCGATACCGCTGCAACGCGCTCACCGTGCTCGCGCGCGCCTTCTTCACGCTGATACAGGGAACCTGGTTCATGCAGGCCGCACTCGTGCTGTACAACCCGCTGCCGGGCGCCACGTCGTGGGACGAGTCCGACCACGGTGAGATGATGATGATCACCGTCATCTACACGTGGCACTACGCCGCCAATATTGTCTATATGATGATGATTTACGCGCTCGTGCGCTACTACCTGCGCCGCCGTGGCCTGAAGATCGAGTCACACGAGGAGGGCTACGCTCCGCTAGATGTCGCCTACGGCTACGAACTGCGGCAGAAGGGTGGAGTCGGCGGGCCGAGGCCGATCGAAGAGGAGGGGGATGATCTCCTGGGAGGGGAGGTTTAGCGAGAGAGAGGAATGACGACGAGGCGAACGTTAACTGCTACAGGGAAAAGAAGGAACTCGAAGAAGAGAGAAGGGTGGACTGCCGCTCACTGTTCAATTGCTGTGAAGTGATATGCAGGGCGTCAGCGCTGCTGGCAACTTGCTACTATTGTTTTGTTGTTTTATATATATATATATATATATATATATATATATATATTTGTATCTCCCGCGACAAAGTCGGCGGGGGATACTATGGTTTCATGTCTCCCCAGCCGCCGCCGCCGCCGCAGACAATTTCCCTTTCGCTCTATCTTGGGGAAAACACGGGGGATACATGTAGTTGGCGACAACTGCCCTTTCTAGTTAACTAATATAACTACATAAATATTAACTACAGCGAGGCTAGACGTTCTCTCCAGTCCTCCACTATAAGAGTCCTCGTCTCACTCAAACAACGTACCATCTCTCGAGCTCCTCCCCAGGAAAGTCACCTCGCTTGATCTCTCGAGTCTCCCTCCCTATAGCCTCTCTCCTGGAAGTGGCATGACAGCAACTTGCCACGCCCCCTCCACTGCCATCGCTCTGGGCGTGGTCTCACTGTCTCCCCAATCTTCCTCTTCTAGGCGTGATCTCACTGCCCTCCCTCCGGGAGTGGTTTCACCGAGACCCTTCTACCTTCTCCTAAAGGGGTGGACACATTAGGCGATTTCGACCGGCCGGCTCGATCGCATAAAAAATCGCGTAGTGTGTCCAGTGAGTCGCATCGATTTTCGAGTCGGCCGGCCGAGTCGCCCGATTCAAACATGTCTGATAATTATTTGAGTCGCGCGGCTACAATCGCGTAGTGTGCCCGGGGAGTCGCATCGATTTTCGAGTCGGCCGGCCGAGTCGCCCGATTCAAACATGTTTGATAATTATTTGAGTCGCGCGGCTACAATCGCGTAGTGTGCCCGGGGAGTCGCATCGATTTTCGAGTCGGCCGGCCGAGTCGCCCGATTCAAACATGTTTGATAATTATTTGAGTCGCGCGGCTACAATCGCGTAGTGTGCCCGGGGAGTCGCATCGATTTTCGAGTCGGCCGGCCGAGTCGCCCGATTCAAACATGTTTGATAATTATTTGAGTCGCGCGGCTAC